AAGTGTCTGTGTTCCTCGGTTAAATCACTGTTTGCTAAATCAAATGCTGCACCTGAAACACAGGGATCCTTTGAAAGTTTGCTGAGAGTGATTTCGTCGGTGGTGAGGGATTGGCTGTCTTCATCTGTGGGTTCTAGAGATGATGGAATGTTTCCCATTCCGGGTGCTGGAATACCGACTGGAAAAACATCTGGAATAAGCTGGAAGAGAAATAATTTTATCCATTAAAATTAAAACTGAGTGAAAAGTTTCTAAAAATTAATGCAGATTCTTTGCTGGGTGAATATTTTGATATTTTATTGCAGCAAAATTCAGCAGGATACTGAATGCTTATGTTGCAGAGAAAATCAAAATTAAGAATTTTTTAAAGTACTATTGTAATTATTTTATAATACTGTAATTACTACTGTAATAGCTGTTTCATGTCCAAGATTAATAATTATTTGTCTCAGGTCCAATATTTTACGCAATTTGAAGTAGGTGTCGCATGAATTTTTTTTCAGGTTGATATTTCATTTTTTTATTATAAGTTTGGTAAGCTTGATTTAACTTGAGTGACGAGTTTCATTCATGTTTAGGACAATTTACTGATTCTGCAAGCATCAGCTGAATGCCATTTTTGAAACATGGGCAGCAAAAGTTTAAAATACTTTGAATATTGAACTTCAGGGTCTTCATGACCTGTCCGGCATTTTTGTTCTTCTCCATTATTCTTATGGTGATTCTTGCACAGGAATTGTGTGTGATTCCAGAAATACCTATGTTTTTTTTGTGCAAAAAAACACGCATTTATCTTAATTGAACTTAATTTTATTCTCATGAGCATAACTTTGTGAAGCATAAAGCACTTGAAGTATAGTTATACGTTCTTGAAGTGCTCATACATATGCAGGCATGTGTGAAACAATCTTATATATGACCTGATGACTCAGCGGAAGTTTCTGGAAATTTTCTTGTGTACAAAATATGCATATTTCTTTGAAACTTGAAGTGCTGTGACTTAGAACTAAATAATGAATGTATTCAATGGTTGGGATACATATTTTAAAAAGATGAATAATAACAAACGCCAAATGAACAAACCGGGGTTTGAACGTCATCTTCCTTCAAAATCAGTTCAGTTTGGCCAAAATTTTCCAAGATGTCGCTTCCTTCGCCAAATGAATTCCTGTCCTCTTCGGCAATCCTGCCATTCGGATTTGACGCGATTTGTTCTAGAGAAGTTTTCTTTGAAATCCTCAAGGTTTTAAAAGCATTCCTCATCACGTGTTGAAACCCTGTTGATTTCTGTAGTCAAACAAATGTTATAAATTGGGCAAAGAAGAAGGAGAAAAAAGAAACAATTGGAGTCATTCACCTTTGCCTCAGATTTTTCCTGGGCTTCCATTTTGTCAATTTCGGCATATGTCCGAACTGGTTCGTTAGGGTCAAGAGGAATATGCACAAGCATGTCGTTGAAATCGAAGCTCTTTTTTGTGACTTCTGCCAAAGTCGGTTTTGAATCGTGTTGGTGATGTTTACTAAATGGGCTAGTAGTTGATGAAACCACGGCATCTGCAAATACAGACATCCTGGACGAAATAGATGCCGGAAGTGATGAGAATTTTGACAAAAATGTGGATGTTGAAGAAGCTTCAACGGTTTTTGCTTCTGCTGCTGAGATCTCATTATCCATTGCTTCCATAAGTTCAAAAATTATTTGTCACTTGAACGAACGGATAAATTGATACTGCGTAAATCTTCAAAGGGTTTTCTGCTGGATTAAGTGTCCTTTATATCCTTAAAATTTCATAACGATGAGGAAAAGCGATCAAGTCTGGAATTATACCTGCGATGTCAAGTATGTTTTGTTTATCCTTATACCTTTGACTAGGGGAGGTTGCCCAGCCACACCTGGGCAGTGGCATCACAGGATAAGATTTTGTTTCCTGAACTGGAAACTCCTAAAACAAAATTTCCCCAAGTTGGGAATTTTATCACTTGTCAAAATCAA